CCTTATCCCCTGTGTGCCTTGCCTCCCACGACTAGCTTCTATAATACTTTAAAAGCTTCAAACCAAAGCTAATATCAGAGCTACTCTTTTAAAAAAATCTATGTTCCCATGGGAGCACGATGTGGATCTACTCCCTCGTTCAAAAACATCTATTTAAGCGTGTTTTAGTTCTAAAATTTTGATAACCACATAAAAATTAAGTAGATATTATTTCCTAAAAATTTAAGATTTGAAAAATTATAGCTAGCGTAGATTTTTATTGAGAGAGTAAATAAATAATAGGCTCGAGAGAGTAAAAAATCTTTCGTGTTGAGTTGGGCAATATTAAGGTAATTAAAGTACCGTAATAGATGTTTATGTTATTACAGTACTTCTAGTACCATAATTCTATCTCTATTTAATCCGTATTTTAATTACCGTAATGGTCGCAATGCATTACGATAGAAAGACTACCGTAAATGGTATTTTCGTCCAGAAAATGCCGAAAATTGAGAAAAAAGGTGTGGGAGAGGTTTTGGGAAGTTTGGGGCTTTTTTACGATTTTCTTAAAATTAAGGTCTATTAGCGATAATTTCCCATATATTTATCAAGGGTAGCTTTGTTTTATTTCTGTTAGATAGGATCTATAGTTTTGGTTAGAGCAAATGTTTCATGCAGGCTGGAACGCATTTGTACAATATGCAGACCCAGAGATATAAAGCATCCATCTTAAAGATCGATACAAATATGTAGTCCATCTAAAACCAATTGTAACTAACGGTTCAAATGTTATTTTAATAGAATTACTATTTTTAGTTTTTAAAAATTATTTATTTTTTCATATTCATGATCTTCATGTTAAAGATTATATATTTTAAAAAAATTAGGATCAAATTCTATTTCAAAAATCAATTTATTAAAATGATGGCTTTTCTACATGTGCAGGCTTGGCCACATGCTAACCACATGCATAGAATGGTGAGTCGTTTTCAATCTCTTCTCAATCTCACAAGTTTTCACCCATGCAGAGCTACTCTCCTCCTTATTTCAATGCATAGAATGGTGAGTCGTTTTCAATCTCTTCTCAATCTCACAAGTTTTCACCCATGCAGAGCTACTCTCCTCCTTATTTCAGTATCACAAATATCTATATATATGGTTTGTCTAGAGTTAACAACCACTCAAAATACAAAGATTCAAGTTAGAAGGGATTGTGATGGGTATATTTTTTTATTAAAAAATTATTTAAATATGTAATTTTACCATTAAACAAGAGCAAATTTGAAATTTTCACAAAAGTACAATGGCATTTTGGATTTTAGTGTTTTGAAACTTTTTTTTTAGAGTGTCGTTTTCTTTTAGTTAATTTTTAATTTTACCACTTATGGAGATGACAAAAATACCCTTTGTCATGTAGTAATATTTACAAATTTGCCCTACAAAAGTAACATTTTTAAAAAAATAGACAACAAAATTAATAAATCCACCCTTCACAACTCTCTCAATCTTGAACTTTTGTAATTTGAAGGGTTGTGAAGTTTAGAATATCCCATATATATATATATATATATAATTTGATATATTTCTAACACATCGATGTTATAATATTTGAAATGTAAGAAAACTATACAAAAGAATACAATGGAAAAGAAAAATAAATAACTAAATATTTCATCATAGTTAACAAACAATATTGAAGTTTGGAATGAATATGAGAAGTTAATTAGTATAGCTTAAAATTAAATATAGGGAAAAACTACAACTGAATTTCCATAGATTCACATTTTCTATGCAATCCAAATAGTGGACATGCATATTTTATGTTTCTTATCAGATCCTATCCAAACAGCATACAATTCTATGCAATCCAAACAGTGGACATGCATATTTTATGTTTCTTATCAAATCCTATCCAAACAGCATACACCCCTATCGCAGGGGCAAGCCAATTTCAATAGAAGACAATTCCAGGAGAAAGTATATCCCTAGGGGCATGCCAATTTCAAGAGAAGACAATCCTAGGAGAAAGCTTATCCCAAGGACAGGCTTCTCCAAGTACCCAAACGGCACGATAACTAGTAATAAAGCTTCGAAAAAGTGCTAAGAAACAACACCCAATGAGATTTCACCACATTGCGTTCATGAGGACACAATAAAAAAAATCCCAATATACTCTAGAGTGCACTCAGGTTGTCATCCATCTAGTGGATCCGAGTCCATTGAAAGAAAGATGGGTAATATATTGATTTTCTTCCAAAGCGTCAGAGAAAAAAAATTAGGTAAACAATATGGATTGCCAAAAATAAGATAAGTTAAAGAATCGTGAATATTTCAGAGTTTGTTCAAAAAATTGGGATATGTAAAGTTGATCGTCATAATCAATATCATCAAAGCCTTTTGTTAACTAATTAGGGTCGGCTACACAAATCATTGTCCGCCATTTTGCTCGATTAAAGAGCATACCCTCAGTGAGGTTATAAGTCCTTATATCTTTTCTCCCTATTTATAACCACATCTTTTAGACCTATGCTTACTCCTTTTTTAGCCTTCCACTTGAACTAACTCGCACCTTTTAACAAGCGTTATAATGAGTCTACACAATACATGACCAACCCATCTGAATCTACTTTATCTTATCTTATTGCCTATTGGTGCCACGCATAAATTTTCCCAAATATGTTTATTTTGAATTCTATACCTTCTGATATTGCCACTCATCCATCTCAACATCAGCTCCTCTACACTCATTCCATGGGTATGTTGTTTCTTAATCGCTCAACATTTCACCCTATAAAGTAAAGTTGGTCTCACAGTTGTTCTGTAAAACTTTTCCTTCAGCTTCTTTGGTGTGCGGCAATCACATAAAACTCTGGTTGCACAGCTCCACTTCGCCCATCCAATTCTACTTCTATATACAATATCTTCATCAATCTCCCTATTTTCTTAGATATTGAAAGTGCACTATTTTTGGTATTTCTTAGTCATCAATCTTAACTACTTATTCGTCTCTACTCATATTCTTGATCTAAGATTTTGCAAGTCAGAATGTAGGTAAGATTTGATAGTCTAAAAGGAATTCAAATGGTCAGAAATCAAACTATAAATAAGTTATTTCTTGAAACTTTATTGAAATAACCAGTATATTTTGTTAATTTA